GAGATTCTTGTTATGGAAGATTATAAATAAGGTTTATTTCCTTATTTATCCTGTAACATCTTGATAAAATCTAAAAACCTCATTGTCAGTAGTCTCCTCTTTAGATTAAAATCTAAAATTTCTTCATGTAACAATAACATGAAGGCCAGTAATGAAAGAACAACTGAACAAATGAATAAAGAAAACAAATAAATATATAAATATTTCTGAGCAATCCTTTCACATTTTCTGTTAGTACAAACTCAGCTGAATATAAATTTTGAAAATGATAGTGATCAGCTTTTAAGGAAGGAGAAAATCAGTAGTAGTACAGGCATCTATTAAAATTGCAGTTAAATGACAATGATTTTGCCAGTGTACTTGCTTATCACTGAATTTGTAAGCTTTATCTTTAGCAGCGACAGTAGGTTCAAAAAGCACATAGAGAACTAAGATACAGTATCATTTCTCTTTACAATTTTTTATAATTTGCAAGTTTAATGCTATTCATAGCACTTCAGGAAAACAGTTTCTTTAAGAATAAAGAAGCATACTTTCCTGTTCTCAACTCAAAGGCCTGGTATATTTTCAGAAGCAGAAACATATACCAAGACAAAAATGATAAAAATCACTGTGGCCTCAATTTTGCCAAATACACATTACTCGCACTATTTGTATGTAAATCATATAACTACCATGACATATATAATCTAAGTATCACATCAGTGCACAATATTCCTAACTATTCAAGTTTTAGCAGTGTTCAGTATTCAGAATTCTGTGACCAAAGCAAATGGAAAGGAGCCAGAAATCACAATCTTTCCTGCAACGGGAGTCTGCTTTCAATGATGGGAGACTAAAGAGGGCTTACTTTGATAGGATTAGTTATTGAGCAGGAAACTCAGTTTGGGATCTTATTACCAAAGTGCCCACCTTTCCCCTTGAGGAATCATCACTTGTATTGTCAGAGACATAGAAAGTGCTCTAAAAAATTAAAGGTAGAACAATGAAGACAATAATTCAAGAAGAGAAAAGAGAAACACTGCACAAACTAATGAGATGTGACTAAAAATAAGTGATTATAGAGTAAGAAAAATGTTAGGAAAATTCTCCACTTCATCACACCCCTTCATACTACTATTTGTCAACAACCTCTACATTAAAAACATGAAATCTGTTTTCAAAGTTATATTCAAAAATAGTTTCAACATTTTCATATTGTCCACAGACTTAAGAAACAGGCCAACAAAATAATAAAACAAATAAACATAAAAAAAACAGGATAAAAGACTTCAAGAAACAATCTTCCTATTAACAATTTAATTTTCTTTTTTAAATACTTTTTGTCCATTCCCTGTGACAAGAGACAGTGGTAGAACCATTCTCCAGAGTGTAATTGGAAATATATGCAGAGTCATTTTTCAGAAATACATGTAAGCATTTCATTGTTACAATCATTTGGGGGTTACTGCAGGTAATCAGTGACGGGGGTACAGGGATGCTCAGTATTTGTTATGAACTGAACATTCTTATCCCACAAGCAATTGTCCTTCATTCTGCATGACTTATGAATGTCTCTTAAGACTAATCACACTATGTATAAGAATAACAATACTTTCATAGTAATACTGGTATTGAGGAGTTTTTATAAGGAGTTACTCAAAAATGCCACAGTAATTATAGGAGGGGGTCATAAAGGGAAGCATAAATAGGATAAATATATTCTGCCAAAATTATTGAATTAACTTACCCTGTGTAGCAGAATATTTAACAAATACCAATGAACTCTCTACCCAGAGTTAACATCTTGCCATGACTGCTTCAAAAAATTTAAAATCAAAATAATATTATTAATAGAATGGAAGACTCCTTTGTAGAACTTCTCAATTCAAATTCTCTTTTTAAACTTTATGTTCCACTTTCTATAACTTTTATAAGAATTCCTTTCAATATGGAAATTATAAATATGACATTCCAAATATAGATCTTCTAGTCAATCTAGAGTTTATTTTTATGTATGATGTGGGGTTGAGCTTTGATTCTCATCTCTTCTCCATATAGTTACCTAATAATATCAGGGCTATTTATTCAATAATCTTTCCTTTTCTAATTGATTTATAAGGCCATCTCTGTCACATACTAAATTCCATACATGAGGAGATCTGGTTTGTGCTTTCTTTTCTGTTTTACTGGTTTATGTTAATATCACTGTATCAATTTTCTTTTGGTTAATATTTGCCTGATATATGTTTATCTCCTTTTTGGCAAATATTTTTACATTTTTATGTTTATGTTTATCTTTTATAAATAGATATATAGATGGATTTTTAAAAATATCTGAAAATTTCCTTTATCAGGCAATCTAATTAGCTTATGTTCTTTCTATGTTCTTTGTTTTCACACAATTGGTTGGCTTTTCTTTGTTCCACATATACCCCTTTAATTGATTTAAAACTTATACATTCTCTTTCTATTCTTTTAGTGATTACCATTAAAATTTTAATATGCATTCTTGTACTTCTGTATTATTTTGTGAACAGAGGCAGTGACCGCTCTTTGTCCTGGATTATCTTTTCAAATATGATTGTATAAAAATAACCTTGGAAAACAGAAATAGAATCTCCCTTTGCAGCAAAGGACAGATTTTCCTATAGCCTTGGAAGAAAAAGATAGTTTTTTTCTATCTTCAGAGCAAAGAATGGGTATGCTTACTGTTAATTTTTCAAAAATTCAAATTCCCTAAATTCAGGATTTCTCTCCTATAACGTAATACACTGCATAGGTAGGTATCATCTGAACACTTTACTGTATCTCAGTGGGATTTGGGGGCAATGAGAACCAACAGAAAATGCTTATGTTCATGCTGCTTGCTATGCTGTGAGTGATAAAGTTCTTCGTCTCTGATCCCAGGAGTCTTGTGTATTCTGCCAGTACCCATGAAACAGTAACTGGCTTAGTTATAGATTTAAATAAGGTAAAATCAAGTCCCAAATCTGAAAGGATCCCTGACTTGATGTCTAATTATAATAAGCATATTTATTTTACCCTCAAACGATGAAAAAAACATTAGAAAACTTTTTTACGCTGAAGTCTTACCAACTCTTAAACCTTTCATACCATTGTCATCTAGAATTTTATTTGCATCTTGTTAGCTTTTTCCAAATTAATTTTACATATAAACATTTAATAGTCATTGTTTGATTAGATTTACAGACTTGTGAGGATTAGATGAAAGGTGTTTAAAGACAGTGGAGCGGCTTTTGGCGCACAGTAAACAATAGATGTTCAATTATGCTTTTACAATGTTTTCTGCTCACCATTGCTTCTTGCACCATTCAGAATTCGATTTTTCTGAATAACTAAAGCAAAGATAAATTACTTTTTCTTTTGTGATTCCTTTCTTAATATCATCTATATTCATGAATATGTCTAAGGATTTAACAGACTTTTATAATTCTGTATTTATTTTTTATCATAAATGGTACTTTTCTGTTCAGCATTGAGCACAATTAGATGCTTTCAAAAAAATTTCTGAATGCAATTATCTCTTCTTTTAGTCTGTTCTTAGTTATTAATATTTTTTCCCTCAAAAATCTAACACCATTACCGACTCGGTTGTCAGCACCTCTATAATTTCTTTAATTCCAGCCGTAAGATTTAATATAATATTGTCTTGTATTAGGCCTCACATTTATAATGTAAAACAAGAAAGTTGGGGCTATATAAAAATAAATACTTAATATAAAAATACATATACCGGTTAATTTTTTATAAAGTTTTTCATTTGTATCCATATTATAATTGGGCTTGTCCTTATTTTATATCTGTTTGTTTTATAATCTGTACATATTCTTTTTGGAGCATTCATTGAATAAACCATGCATTCAAATAAAAGGTGTTTCTCCATAACCCTAGAAACAAATGACAGTATATATGTTAAGGATAGTTACTTTAGGCCTGATGATCACATCACAGTAATGAATAATGATCTAGGAGTAAGTACACCTATGTTTTAGTCTCCATTCTCCCAGTGGAAGATGAACTAAACTAGGGGCAGAGGGTTGTCAAATGATATAAATTAAATTTTTAGTTCTGTAAATGATGTAAATTAAATTTTTAGTTTTCTTACCTTCTCAAACACTAAATTTCTTATTAATTAAACAACTGAAATTATCTGTTTCCATACACCTTACAGATTGGTTTGGAGAATCAAATGAAATAACATTTATGAAAGTATTTTTAACTTCAAAGCACTCTGTAAGTATTTATACTATAAGTACTACTCTTACAATTTAAATATATTAATGGAATATTAATATAAACATTTTTTTCACCCCAATCTTGACCATTTATATACTGGTCTCTGGAAATAAGCCTTAAGAGGAAAGGAATGATGAAGAAACAAAGATTAAGAAAGAATAAGGAGCTCTCTACCTCAAAAAGTATTTTTGAGGTTTACAAAAACATATGATACTATATTCCAACTTCCTCTTAAAAGAGGCTTGGTTCCATGTCACGTACCGCAGATGAGTATCAGGATAAGCCACACCCTGGGTAACCTTTGCAAGTCAACTCTGACTTTTAGCTTAATATGAACTACTGAGAAGTTAATGAAGTAAGCCAAAATCTGGCAAAGCTCCCAAGGTAACATATCAAGCAAAACACAAAAGAAGCTACTAAAGAATTCACTAAGTTCAAATTTCCTACTTCTTCAAAAAATAGGCCCAAATATCATAAAATCCAAGTGAAAATCCACAGCTTAGTTTAAAATAACACTACCACTAAGGGGTTTTTCAAAATAATTTGATAGTATAAAGTACGTTAAGGAAAATAAGACACTTCCCCTTAAAGGGAGAATATGGAAGGTAACCACACAGACTTTATAACAGAAGGCTATAATTAATAACAGAAACTTGTTAAACTATGGACTTCTGATAACAAAACTAAAAACAGAACTCTTTTGTACTGCCAATTTTTTCTTTATTTTTTACCTCATATTAATTGACACGCCAAGTACTTACATCTGGAATAAATCCAATCTCATTGAGATGATTGCTCAGCTCTGGATCATGGAATGCAATCATCTGAGAGAACACAGTCAGATACTCTGAAAAGACAATAAAGTTTAAGACAATCATTTTTACCGAGTACCTCAAATAAATATTAAATTCACATAAGTTAATATTTTGAATGAAATTTAACTTCATGAAAAAAACAAGTTTAATAGATAATTTCGTTTTGTTACCACTTTTAATCACTTACTGCTAATGATCAAATATATCAACAAATTATGATGCAACTTACTTTCTACCTTCAGAGCTATCAGTTCATTTCTCAAATCACAAATTACACACACGATGAACAATGTTTTCCTATTAAGTTCCATAAATACATTTTCTCTAGTGATATTAAATGTCTCACATTTATTTTATGATCAGACAGTATAACAGATAAATAAGGAAAAACACTTTATTAGCAGTAACAAATAGAATAATTATGCCTCAAATTTGTTTATATATACATATGTAGGCATTTGTTCCAGTTCTAATTTCTTACCATTCGGCATTTGATATATTAGGAATAAGAATTAACATCATGTTAATCAGAAAACAGGCATACAGTCAGTAATTACAGGGTTCAGGTGGACTACGAAACATATTTTCTTATTTTTTTCCATTCTTTCAATAATTTATTATTATTGCCGATTTACTCATCACATACTAAACAACATACTTGTAATAATCTACTCAAAGGCAAGTAACCATCATTTATTACATATTACAAAAATTAAAACATATTGTAAAAAGCTCAACTTTTTCTTTTTGAGATTGAAATAACAATAACTCAATGAAAACATTCTCTTAATAATTTCAACTCCTTTCTTTAATAAAGTTATAGATCTATTTTTCAAACCAATTATTTGGTGAAAATAAGCTCCAAATATGTCTGCCTTTTTGGTCAGTTTTTTAAATTCTTTTTTTTTTTTTTTAATATTTCAAGAAATAGTACAAAATCCTTGACAACCTGTTAGTACAAGTAGCTTTCCTCTATTTTCCTCAATTAAAACTTTGCTTCTAATGGCCACAATGTATTTTGTAATTATTTACCTATAAGCAACGTCATATATTTTACAAAGAGGAGCATCAAGATAAAAAAAACAAGGTGAGGTGGTACTGCATTCAATACCATGATAAAGCTAAATTCCATATCTAATGTGAATTTTTACCTATGGGTGCTGGATAAAGAATGGGTATTTGATTAATAATTTTTCATGATGTGATGTTTACTCTAATGCAACAAAAATCTTTCTATCTATTCATTGTCTCATATTTTCCTCTGAAACAAAAAAAGGTACAATTCATACCAGCTTCAAGTGTTATAGATTAAAGTGAAGATCTAGGACATAGCCCAAGGTCCCAGGAAACTTTGGGGTTTAACTTTAACTACTTTTTATCTCCTTCCAATTAGCAAAGATATGTTTACAGTCATAATTTATCTAGGAGCCAGAGGTATGTAAGATCAACAATCATAATTCAACTGCATGTTAATTTTAAAACAAAAAATCATATCTCAGGCAATTTTCCACATCTATCCTCCAGTTTACTAAGTATCATTCTTATTTAAGCCTGATAAAAGATAATTACTATGTGAGATTACATGACTAATTAAGGATCCACTGAGGAATCCTAGTCTGTCATGAAAACATTTTCCTCGTGTTCTGCCAAACATTCATGGCTGGGCTTAAATATGTGTTATAAATAATACACACAAATAAATATGTGTAAACATTTACATTATATGTAATTATATATCATATCATTTAATATATGTAAATATAAGCTATAAGAATAGCATAAGTTTTGGTTGCTCTGGGCAGGCTTTAGAATAATTTATAGTATGGCTTGTTATATTCAAAAAAATTCTTACTTTAAAGGGGGAGATAAGATAGAACCAATGAAATTGGCACTATGTCATATTTCATGGTCATTTCAAAAATGCATTTAAAAGGTCCCTTGAGTAAGTTAAAAAAAAAAAATTGAAATGCATATGCCCCTTGATTTGTAAACCAACTTGATAGAATTTAAGGGTAGCTAAAGAAAGAAAGGCCAGTAGTCAGAATAAAACAAAGGATTCCAGAAATATTATACTGACTCTTAAAATGTTCACAAAACACTCTAATTGTGATCTATAATATGGAAGATACATATCTAGAGACATAAAATAACCCCCCAAATAATATTTTCTGATAGGTGACCTATGTAAGGTTAAATGCTATTTAACAATAAAAAAAATCAAGGTATTTATGAAATTTCCTCTATCTACACTATAGACACATGGAGCTATGAACATGCCTGTAATTGTGAGAGACAAATAGCAGGACTTTCATTTTCTTAAACTAGCACATCTAAATTTATACTAGACTGAGATCAGATATTAGAAAAATACTATAATTCTTTGTGGACGTGGAGGAAAGACTAAATTTAATGATATCTTCATTGGTTTTAGTGAGGATGATCACCTGATATTGAGTCAAAATCATAAATTTGATTGAGTATTGGTTACTTGACATAAGTACTTTCCCTTGAAAAGACAAGAAAAGACATTTGCTTACCTTGTATTACATGTGAGTTGTCCTTCAAGAAGAAGTTATACAGGTATTTGGGAATAAAAGCAGACATACAAGCATAAGCCAAGGCTAAGAAAGAATAAGACAAAGACATATAACAAATTAGTTAATGGGAAAAATTATCAGTAGTCATTCAGTCACTTATTATACATTCTTGAATCTAATATTAAACAAAATTATTTTTAATAACTGAAAACACAAATTAGGGGTGAAAAGCCCCTCTGCTCTTTAAAACTAAACATTTTGGACAACACAAGATAACCAGCTACTAACTTTCTAATTTTAAACTACTACAGCAATCGTTATCCCACAATAATAATAACCTTTCTTATCTGAACTTTACAATTTTTTTATCTTTAAACTTGATCATTATTAATGAGCTATAGAAACCTCCAGATCCTTGATTTTTGTTGATGCAAACAAAAAAAGACTCAGAACTTCAATTTAGGAACACTAGTTTTAATTGCTCTTTCAAACACAGATTGTTTACTATTCTTGGATCAATATGTGTGATAATGGACCATACCTAACTAAACATAGCAAATTCTAGTCTAGATAAAGAGCAATGATATTATAGAACAGTGCATTTTTAAAGCAATTCAAATTGTGAAATTTTAGTTCCCTGGGATTATGTTATCTCTGCTCATTTCCATAAATCTATGCAAAATCTGACATAAAATAGATAGAATTTGAAAAAATGGAGACTGAGGCTTCCAGAGATTCATACTATATATAGTACTTTCTATATGTGATATTATTAGAGATTTGAGGCAGTTAAGTTTAACAAATATTTACGAAAAAATCTATAAAAAAGACACTGTAACAGAGGAATGGAAAACAAACAAAAAACAATCATTAAAAAAAGCTGCTAACCAAAGAAAGGGTTACTATGTTAGTATATAAATAACCAGTATACAAAATATATACAAATATACTCCTGAAATAGAAAGTGGTGGGTTTAGGAGGGAGAATAAGAAAAGTCTCCATTAAGGAGGTGTAGTTGAAATGACAGGCTTTGGAGATCCAAGACCAACAGCGATTTCTTTACACATTGTTTAGAAAGTATACATAGACTAAAACTAATTTCTAAAGAAGTCAAAATTTTTTCCAATGTTTCATATTAGAACACCAATAGGTCACCAATGCAGATAAAAGTATTGGAATAATCCATCATATTCTCCCTAAATCTCTAATCATTGCCTGGTCACAACTGAAATGCTCCAATAATAAAATAATTATTCACATCCTCTAAAATTAATCTAACAGATTTCACAGAAATTTACGGTATCTCCTAGAAAGAAAGCAAGAACCTTATGACAAAAACAAAAGCTTTTCATGCTTAAGTAAAATATTTTAGAATGATACGCATCGTGATTATTTAAATGATGAATAGGCTTACCTTCATTATTGAAATTTAAATATAGGAATGGAGCACAAAGTGAGTCAAGACCTGATAGGAGGGATTGTAGAAAAGAATTCGAATAAATAAAATTCAGTAGAATTGTAAATATATATTTTATCCAGTTTTCTGCTCCACCTCTACAAAGATTAAGCATTAAAAATACTACTCAACCAGAAATATATCACCTTATGCATTACTGCGGGGAGTAACTGATAGTGACTAGCACAAAGTACATGCCCAATACAAATCAGCTATTATTATTATCAACATTATTATGAGTTGAAGAGAGAAAATATACTACAAGGAAAATGTAAAATTGATAAGAGGCTTAAGACGTATTTCCATCTCTGACCCTGTGAATTCTTGTCAATCACTTAACACCTCCAGGAGTGTTTCCTCATCTGGGAGAAGGAGATTTGTCTTACATGTTTATTTGGTATCATGAAAAAAATCCTTTAAAAATTGTGAAGTGAAATACAAATATATGACATATTTCTTTTATTGATAATAATGCTGTCCATATGTTGTCATGTTCAAAGAATGTACATAAATCTATCCATAATTGTTAGGAAGATATAGAACTCCTTTAAAATGGACAGAGCTAGGAAAAATAACAGCTTCATTTTAAGTTTGGCCATTAATAGCTAATTAAAATATTTTTAAAAATACTGTTCATTTTAACAAATTTAAATATAGGACTGGGTGGAATGGGTTTCTCATTTATGAATTTATCAATGACCACAACAATAATAATGAGAAAGGTAAGAATCAGGGATATGAAACAATAAAAATATTTTTTAAAAAGATAAATAAGTAAATAGTTTAGGGTGCTATCCTATTCCCCAATTCTTAATAAATATGTTAAGTATAAATCACAAATCATTAAATAGTAAGAATATTAACTAGCCCCAACTTATTTATATATGAAATTATTTTATTACTTTCATAAGCACTGAAAAAGTGTACCCACAAAGATCACAATTGCACAAAATATTCTTTCTACTTTCCTAATTAACATGATGGCAAATTACATATCATACATTTAAGTGACATCTACTTGTTTAAAAAAGATGTTAAAAAAAAGTTCTCATATAACAAGTAGATCATAGCTTTCATATGGACTTTTCTGAAAGTCAAGGATGTTTTCATATTTTGTTCTAATTTTTAAAATTTGTAGTCATGCAACATGCTCCTAATACTTCAAAAAAAAATCTTAAAAATATGGAAGGAAAGTTACCTTGCCAATATACAAGATCAGGATGAGATACTACCCAGGCTTTTAATACACGCCTAAATTTTGCATGACCTTCTGGTGATGATAACAATTCATCATACTGATGACAACGAGGAATATCCACTTCAATCTGTAAAATAGCAAAACAATAAGGTGGAACTGTAATAGAGTGATCTCCAATAAACCACAAGGCAAGGAAATGGAGAGATTATATTATAAATTTCAGAATAGATCAACTACATAATTCTGGTGTTTTATATTAATACTCTGCAAACAATGGAGAGGTTGTATATTCGAATAAGAAGAACAGACCATTTCTTTTGAAAAAGTATGTATTATCATAGTTTCCAAAAAAAAACCTTTTACAACCTAGTCTAAATAAAGGGAAGATTTCCTCAGATAAAAAAGTATAATTAATAAGAAAAGATACTTGACCTAAACTCCTTTAAGGAACAGTACTAACTCACTAGCTTATGAATACATAAACTATGCATATGATAGTTGGTGAGTACTCATAATGAAAAGAAACAAAGTTCCTCCTGCCTTTCTAAAATTAAAAAATTCAGCCCAATTATCTTAGGTTGTTTAAGAAAATCTAAACCATACTTGTCTATCTGTAGGAATTGGAGTATCTTTATCGATTGCATCATACTTGGCATGAATAGCCCCCTGCAAAAAATAAGAGAGGATACTATTAATTCATTATATCCTTGAAAAATTATTAATTTAGACAAAACATACTTATTATAAACATCTATCTTCAAAACGTACTTATTATAAACATCTATCTTTGAAAATCTACCCAATTACTGATAGGCATATTAAAATCCAAAGTATACCTCTTAAAAAAATCCTCAACATTTTTAATAATCTGTGATGAAAATCTGTGATAATTTGCCATTTTGTTGAGGAACATTTGAATTATATACACCAAAAGAAAAATGCATTGGCTGAGTCATTTACCTAATGAGCATGCTTTGCAAAATCGCGTAGCCTCCATAACACAACACAGCCATATTGCTCTCTATTTATTGTTATCTCAAACAGTAAGTTTTATGAAGAAATTTTTAAAAATTGGGGTGGGGGGGAGGGCTGTCCCATAAGAAATTTTCCTGCTAAAGTTGATAATGAAAGCAAAAATAATATGGGACTATTTAAAGGTGTGGTAGGTAAGCACCAGGAAGCAAAAGTTTAAAAGAAATTAAAGAGTGAAATGTCATGTAGTTATGGAATCATTATGGGACTAAAGAAATCATTTACATTTTTCAGTTGTATCATTACTGAAGGAATAACTGAATAAACCACTTCAAATTTTAGTCATATTTAATAAGGCCAAGCATGGAACAATTATAACTCTGGTTTACTGCAATGGTATAGGAAGAGCCAGGAATTTGGGGTTTAAACTATGACATTACTTGCTGCATCAATTTTTCTGGTACATCTATAGAATGACAGATTTGGACAACCTAACCTCAGAAGTCTTTTTGAACTTAAGCATTATATGGTTCTACAATTCTAGCTATGCATACATACGTATGGTATGTATGACAGGCATTCTTCTAAAGCAATCACCCAAATTCAAAGAAGTTTGTAGATACTCATTGAAAGAATCAGAAATAAAGAAAATTATTTTAACAGGGAGTTGAAAAGGACTGAAAATAGTTGAGGGGATTCAGGAAAAAAAATGCATGATAAATATACATAAAAGATTGATAAGGGACCATACGAAGGCAAGATGACAAAGAAATTGACTGGAAATGAAAAAATCTCGCAAGGATTTGGCCCAATATCATGACGGCTGTCACCGGAGTTCTCTGTTAGTACTGCAAGTCACCCCAGTAATTTTGTGACACTTCTCCTTCCTCATTGCCACAGATTAGGTGTTGTAGAAGAAAAAGTAGCTATTTGTCTTAGCAGCATGGTTCTTGTGGGATAGATGTGCCAAACGACACTAAATTATGTTAACGATTTTGGACAAGGTTCAAACTGAAGTGGAAGATTTCTCCAAACTTAGACAGAACTACTTATAAATAGGCAATCCTTCTTCTAAAGAAACATACTTTATAGGCAGGATAATACACTTATAACTGATATATATGTTCTTAAAATATTTTGATTTGGAAAATAATCAAGATAATTTTGATGAAGCTCATTACATATTAAATAATATAAATCTAACAAGCCTTCAATTATATTTTCCTGTTCTAGTCTTTTCTATTCCTTCATTCCTTGCATTTAAAATTGCCAAATATTCTCCCCCCACCCCTTCTTTCTTCCACCCCTGACCTATGGATGTTGCCATTTTTTCCTTAAGAACTGGATCTATGAAGGTGGGGTGTCTCCTCTCACACGCTCACGGTGTGCACCCGGGGCCTGGCACACCCGGGGGGCCTTGCGCACCCGGGGCCTGGTCCATGCCTCCACCTGGGTAGCGAACCCAGGACCTTCTGCGTGTAAAGCAGACGTGCTAACCACTAAACTATGGAGCCAGCCTGCCTGCCACCAAAAAAAATTGCCAAATATTCTTAATGCTCATATTTTACTACATAATTTTCTAACTTGAAAAATATATATTTGGAAAGCACCTTCCTCTTCTTCCTTCTTCCTTAGCACTATTATGACCAACTTCTAACCTTCTCTTTTCTTTCTTACCTCAACTCCCAGAAGAGCAGCCCAGGTTAAACCTCTCATAAGTGGAGGAATGTCAACTCTTGCTTCTTTCCAGATTTGATTTTTTTTATATGGATAAGCCTACAGATGAAAGAAGATTTGAAAAATGTCTCAAATTATCAAGTAGACTTTTTAGCCTAGAAAATCCTGAATAAATACCACTGATGAAGTTGAAGGTGATCTTCAATAAATTTCTAAGTATCTTTAATTATTTTGGTGTTAGTAATACTTATAAGTTAGCAGTGAAATTGTTCCCTATATTCTGTAAATTTTGTATAATTGAACCAAAGAGAGGAGCTGATTCTACTGTTTTTAATCATTCCTCTCTATTTTGTGCACTGAGAAAATTATGAATGAGTCATGTGGAGAAAAATATTACCAGCTCATCTGGGTTAAATAATGTATATACAGCCCTTTGTAAAATATCTGGTGATATAGAACGTAGTCAATAAATATAAGTTATTATTATATGGCTACTTCTATATTCTTGCATATAAAATTGTCCTTTTGTAAATTTGTAATTTAGAGGTGAGTTCTACGAAAGAATTATTAGAAAAAAGGATATGGATACTGTTAAAGCTCTTGATATATACTTTCAAACTACTTTACACAATGTTTCAATTGATTTCCACTTATTCCAAAGAAATGAAAGTTTTAATCTTAATACACCTTTGCTCACTTTACTAATTTGGTAATCAAAAGAAAAAAAAAAAGCCTATTTAATTTTTTTTTTCACTCCCAGCGAGGATAAATATTTTGAATAGATTTACTGGCTCGTATTCCTATTATGTTCTTTATCCATTTCTCTGTTTCAATATTAGTGCTTTTTCTTGTTGATTTTTAAGTGTTTTTTAAATAGTAAGGATATTAATCTTTTGTCTAATATGATTTTGCATATATCCCTGCATCTTGCTTTTACATTTTAATTTTATATACTATGTAGTATGAACACATATGTATCATTTTTATAATTAAATATAAATCATAAAGATAGGTCTGAAGAATTAGTCTTCTCATGGTATCAAGATTCCTTAAGAATTACCAATGAAATAAAAAATTGTATATGGGCTCTTACAACACTTTACATTTTAGAATCCCTACCTTTAGCAGCCTGTCAAAGAGAATGATTCTATTTAGTTGGTACTCAGTGTCCCTCTCTCGGATGATTAAAGGGAGAGTGGCAGCTGCAGACAACTCATTATTGCTGTTTGAATGAGGTAAATTAGACTGGCTGTAAAAGAGAAACAAAGGCAGTAAAATTGACAAAAGGTATAAAATTAAAAAAAAAATCAAAATACCATATTCTGTGTTCTTTTTACAAAATACTTTTAAAGAAAATATTTAAGCTTCTTACCAATCTAACATGAACAGAAAAGTAAAATAAGTGTAAATGGAGACTATATATACTCACTCATCTTCAAGTAGTGGGTAAAATGCTTCTCCACCAACATCTTTTAATCTCTGTCAATTTAAAAAGAAAATATTTATGTATGAGGATTTCAGACAGACATGCTGATCTGTATTTAAAAGGAAAAAGAATATAAAAATTATGAATTTATAAAAGTACCAAGAGAAGTATAAAATACAATTTAAAATTAATCCCTATCATAAACATGCAAATATACTATGCCTCTAGTGATTAAGTTTATCTGTGAAGAATAGTTTTTTGTATTTTGATTTTTTTTTACCTGCAGGTGTCTCTTGAAGACGTTAGACACCTACTATAATATTTTCCAAACACAATTCAGAATTACTAAAATTAGTATAAAATTTAATAAATGAATAAAATAGGTTTAAATTATATGAACTGTTATTAAATGCATATTGCTTAACTTAAAGCTCAAGTTAGATTTATTTTATTTTGACATTAATACAAACTAAGACAAAAGTAAGGTGCTAATAAAAAGGACTCAAAAGAATTTCTCACATCATACTTTGAACATGTATAATTCAAATACCTAATAAATCAATTGATAAAAGTTCAATTCTCTTAATCACTTTTTTCACAAAGTCATTATATTAATATTGCTCCAATAAAAACATTATTGGTATTCCTCAAAAACATAAGAAGGCAGGCAGTAGTAAAGTAAAATCTTAGACACATCCTAAGCAGGGTAATTAAAGTTAATGCCACCTTGCCTGCTGATCTGCTCTTCAGTTCAACCTCCAACTTGAAGGCAAAGTATCTCTGTTCCTGTGGGGACTGACACAGCAGTTCAAGCTCTATCTGTAGCCAGCACTGATCTTCTATTGATTGGAGTTGTGCACTCCTCCATGGGAGCTAGTCCCAGAATTTTTAAAAGCTAAAGAAAAATTTTTTACCCAACACTGAGAATCTGGCAAACACTGGATTTATTATGCTTGGCTTCTCTCTGAAATTTCACATGCCATGTACTTATCCTATTTTGCCTTTAAACCTTTAGGTAGTTCTTTCTTGGATTAAAATTCTAAGTAGAAAAATAAGATTTCCCCAAGTTTCAGTGCATTATTTATATATATATACTTTTTTAAGTTTGAGTTTTACTGTCTTGAAAGTCATAAATATTAATTTTAAGTAACTTTTCTGTTTTTAATAATTAAAATTTTAACATATTAGTGGCAAAAAAGTAAAAAATACTTATACAAAAAATTATTAGGTAAAAATTATTTGGTTTCTATATTATCTTTAAAATCAGCAACGTTAACAATTTTTCTTAATATTCATAGAAAAAATATTTTAAATTTTAAAAGTGACAATGTAAGAAAATTGAGGAAGTTAAATCAAAGACTTCTATTCATTTAACTTGTATGCATATAATTTGGAATATATTTAAGTTAAAGAAAAAGTTAAGAGTAAAATTAAATCATGAAAACCACATATTTTAGATGTAGTTTATTGTTTGTTGCCTTGTATTCCTATTTATTTTGTCCACTATACACGTTCTTTCTCTTAAAAGAGATTATATAGAGATTATATTGTATTATGTAGTAATAATTATGTATTTTAATTTTCTGTTCCTATGACAGATTAGAGATCCTATCATATAACACATGAAATATCAAATGACAGGAAAAGTCTTAAAAAATAAGAAAAATACAGTGATATGAGACCCTACGCTGGGTTTAGAAAGGAGTTAAACTAGCACTAAAGTACACTGATAACTGTGGCTTAAGGTTTTAGGGTACAATGGGAAAAGTCTTGGACATCTGATTAACAGGTAGCCAGACAGGAAGAGACCATGGTAATCCAAGGAAAGGAAGAAATGTGTGTGTGTTGCAGAGAGGCTGGGGGAGGCTGCCAGCCTAGAGACAGACATTTTAGCTTTGGGTACAGATGGTTAAAATAAAAAGGCTAGGCGTTTTGGTTTCTAGTCCAACATTGAAACAGCTTAGAAGTCATCCTTCTTGCCCTAAAAACAAGAAAAAAACAAACAAACCAAAAATCAACACTTTTTACATCCATCGGAATTAGGGCAAAATGCTGTCTGATTTTAAAACTAGAGTAACAGGCAAATAAAGAGAATCACAGCTAAGCTGAAGCAGAAGCCTCTGCTGGAGCCTGGTAAGAACTACTAAAGGGCCAATAACTGCTGCAGACTTAGCAAAGACTAACTTGGGAGATAAAAATTGGAGGCCCAGCCATAGAGCAACCCATACTTTCTCTACAAGTACCAACAGGTTCTCAGGGTGAAAATCTAAGAAAAATCCTCTGTGTCCTTGACAAGGAGGAGCAAAGTAACCATTCTGAAACAGCCCCCAGAGAGTACTTTGTTCTCATCGATAAAGACCTGCTCTCAAGAAAAACTATTTTGCAGAGTCTAAATGACCAGGAAAAAGGGAAATACCCATCTCTAGCCCCCACAAGTCTTTGATGTATAGAAGAGATATACCTAATTTCAGCTCCCTCTAGCTGCCTTCCTGAAGAGGAGGTAGGGAGGGAACTGAGAAATACATGTGAAGGAGATAGGGAGGGAAAGGAGAAAGACATGTGAAGGTCACAGTCCAGAGACACAGGCTCACTAAAAGGCTGAGACTTAATTAAAAGATTAAGTTACACTTTCCCTCCTCTACATTATCTCCATATCAACAAGGCCCCTGTATAATAGCAGGGGATTATAGCTGAAAGAACTGCAAGCTTCAGACCCTATTTACAGACGTCTAGGGAAACCCAAAGACAACAGGGGAGGAAAAGAACAGGGACACTGAAGGAAAATTTAGCCTTTGACAAAAAAGCTACACAAATACTATACAACTAGATAAATGAAAAATCTTGCACTAAAAGTCTATTTATCAGTCCCTTTTACTGATACGTCATACCTGATTTCCAACAAAAAATTGCAAGGCATGCTAAAATGCAAAAGAAGATGCTCTAAAGAGATGAAGCAAACTTTAGAACCAGACTCAGATAAGGCAGAGATTTTAGAATTATCAGACTAGGAACATAAAATAGGTATGATTAATATGCAAAAGAGAAAAAGTAGACAACATGTAAGAACAGATGGGTATTATAAGCAGAGAGAGATGAGAATTCCAAGAAAGAATCAAAAAGAAATACCAGAAGTAAAAAAAAAAAAGTAATAAACATGAAGAATCTCTCTGATGGACTCATCAGTACATGAGATATACTAAGGAAAGAGTCAGTGAGTTTGAAGATATATCAATAGAAACTTTCCAAACTGAAATACGAAGAGGAAAAGGAATGAAAAAGACATAATAGAATATTCAAGAAGATGAAATACTCAAAAAAGATGTAACCTATGTGTAACAGGAATACCAGGAGAAGAGAGAAAGGAACAGAAAAAATATTTGAAGAAATACTTGAAGTAATAACAACAAAAATTTTCAAAATTAAACAGATACCAAGTGACAAAAATCCAGGGAGCTCAGAGAACACCAGGCAGGATAAATAATCAAACAAACAAACAAACAAAACCTCCAAACCTAGGCATATCATATTTAAACTGAAGAAAATCAAAGACAAAGAGAAAATCTCAAAAGAAGTAAGGGCTGGCAAAGCGGGGTGGTGGAGTGGACCTTACCTTAGATGAACAAGGGTACAAATTACATTGGACTGCTCTTCAGAAACCATGTAAGCGGGAAGAGAGTAGACTAAAGGTTTAAAGTATTGAAGGAAAAAAACAACCAAACTAGAATTCTGTATCCAGCAAAATTATCCTTCAACGGTGAGAAAATAAATTATTTGTTAGACAAACAAAAATGGAGGGAATTTGTTGCCAGTAGACCTAACTTGCGAGAAATGTTAAAAGTTCTTCATAGAGAAAGGAAAAACATGTAGATCAGAAACTTGAATCTACATAAAGAATGTTACAGAAAGAATAGATGAAAGACATATCTTTTATTTCTCTTATTCTTAATTGATATAAAAAATAAAAGTTTGTTCAAAATAATAGATCAATGTATTTGGCGAAAAGACTATGGATAAGTGAAATGACTGACAGCAATGTAATAAGGGATGAGAAAAAGGATAAGAGAATACACTGTTACAAAACACCTGCCCTGCATTACCTGGTAAGCAGTATAGTGTTATTTAAAAGTGAACTTATATTACTTGTGTATATTGTAATACGTATATTACAAATTTTAAGGCAACCAATAAAATTTTTTTAAAAGTATAATTGCTATGGTAAGAGAGGAGAATAGAATCATATAAAATGGTCAATTAAAACCAGAGAAGTCAGAAAAAGAAATGAAAGACACAGAGAGAAAGAAAGGATGGGGATGGAGAAAGAGAGAGAAAAAGAGAGGGAGGGAGGAGAAGAAAGAGAGAAAGTGAGAAGGAAAGAGAGAAGGGGAGAGAAGGAGAGAGACAGAGAGAGAGAAGGAGAGAAGGAGAGAGAGAGACAGAGAGACAGAGACAGAGACGGAGATAGAGACAGAGACAGAGACACGGACAGACAGACAGACAGACAACAAGGCGGGGAAGAAATACAGAACAGCTACACATATGGCAGATACCAATTCAACTATATCAATAATCGTTTTAAATGTGAATGGTCTAAATCTACCAAAAAAGACAGAAATTGTCAGTGTGAATAATAATAATAAAAAAAAGCCTCAACTTAATATTATCTGTAACAAATGCACTTTAAACATAAAGACATAGATTAAAGGCAAGGGGACAGAGAAAGACAAACCATGGTAATACTAAAAAAAAGAATGGAAATAGCTATGCTAATTTCAAACAAAACTGACTTGAGAGCAAGAAACATCATGTGCACACATATACACATCCTATTTACAAGAGCAACAATAAAATATTTTAGGAATTAATAAGATAACTGATATATAGATATTAAAAAGGAAATTGTGGTATAAAATAAAGTAGTATTTCTATATACCATGTTCAAGAAACAGATGTTAAAGATATCAATTCTCTACATTTAATCTATAAATTCAACACATTTCCAATCAAAATCCTGTAATTTTTTAATGAAACTTAATAAGATTACAAAAAGCATATAGAGCAAGATGTTAGAGAGCTCCTAGTCTATTTTAAGAAGAACAAATTAGAGATATTTCCTTTCTAAACACCAAGACCTCATATAAGAC